AAGATTTTTCTACGTGCTGTTCCCTCCACTGGGGAGTATTTCATGTTCTCATTTACCGCTTGGGAAACTTCCACTCATTCTTAAAGACCCATTGTCTTAAGGCCTCCCTTCCATGGCTCTGTCTGACACGGAAGCGGATCCCTCCTCTGCGGACCTTAGAACACCGAGGTGTCAGCCTGGTTCCACCCTGACAATGAGCCCAGAGCCGGGCCCGGCTGTTGTTTCACCCCAGGCTCTCTAGTTCATTCCCCGTTACCCGCTGTGTCCCGAGGAAGAGTCTCTCATTTTGAGATAACATTTGAGAGGAGTCCCAGGCGCCTCGTTAGCCTCATTTACTGGCGAGAGCAGTGGTTCTTGGCTGCACATTAGAATCGTCTTGGGAGCTTTAAAACTCCCCGATTTCTAGGCCACACTGCAGACAAAGTAGACTCTCTCTGAGTGGGGTGTCGGGGGGGCGGGGTGGGAGGTAAGCTCAAGGCCTGAGCCACCGACACCGTCCATGACATTAGCAGATGAGGGGTCACTTATGAAGACATGGATGGTGCATTATTAAATACATAACTAGGGGAGATAAATGAATGAGAAGATAGGAGAAAAGAGTGGAGCCCCTACAGTCAGGCCGACGCTGGCCTAACACTGGTTGGCAGCCTGCAGGTGACAAGAGGCCAGCGTCTGAGTGCGTCCCACCTGGATCCTAGATCTTACACCACAGGGCAGGTCTCCCGGTGAGGTAGGGTCCCGCCTGTTGCCTATACCTGGGCCTCTGACACCATGTCCCCAAGTTGGGACACTGCCTACGTCCTGCATTAGGTACTCAAGCAAGTGTTATTTTCGATGATGAGCTTCGGTGGGTTTTCCATAGGCTCCTTACTCAGATGCTGCATGTCGGCACACATTACCTGAGCGCTTTGCGAAGCAGCTTCCTTGCCGTGTCTAATTTGACTTCTATGTGCTGATACCTCAGCCCTAGCCTGGGGACAACAATGCCCCAGATCCTCAATTAAGGACACATCCACTGCTAAATGCCACATGAGCCTGCTCCCTCTTGGATCAGTCAGAAGCATGGAATCTTAATTTAGTCTCTTGAGTGACTGGCCCAACAATCCAATCAACGACCACTGATGAAATGTCACTGAGTTCAATTTATAACTTTGCGCAGTCTCTTTTCCATCTCATTTTCCAACCCATAGTGTAGGCAGCGTGCTCTTTCTAAAACACAGACGGGCTCACACCATTACCCTGCTTAAAACTTTTCTTGTCTCCCGGCTGCCAAGAACATGAAGTCCAGGGCTTCAGCGTGACATTAAAAGCCCTTCACAATCTGGTCCCCACATATACTTTCAAACCCACCTTTTCTCACTCTCTCTCACACCCTCCGTTTTAAGTTGCACGGATATGCTTGTGGTTTTTCAAATGAGCCAGGCGCTCCCGTGTTTCTATGCTTTTGCATATATTCTGTTTCTTTGGCTTCCAATGGCCTCCCTTTTCGTTCCAAGTGGCCCAATGTCATCTATTCTGTAAACCTCCTCCAATCCATCAGAAGCCTGAGCTAGTCTCTCTTCTGTGTGGCTGATGCACTCTGTAAACACTTACATTTTTGCATTGGTTATATCATAGTTTCCTTGTTTACATAGCTGCAAAACCCAGATTTTATTCACCTCTGGACACTAAAAAACTAGATTGGGCTTAGTGAATGCCTGCTGAATGGGTGGAATTTCCAACCATCTATGATTGATCATTTGACTGAATGCAGGACTTAAGGGAGGAGGTTGCTGGGAAGACTTCTGTGGGCAGAAGTAAAAACAAACAAACAAACAAACAAACAAAAAACAAGAGTGGGGGGGTATAACCTTTCAGAGCTGAAAAAGAGGTTTTAAATATGCTTAAAAATAATTTTACCTATGTCAAGGATTGTATATGGTTTTAAAAACAGATACACATAGTCGAGAAGAAGGGATACATTTAAAATAACACATATTAAGAAAAATAAATGAGCTTTCATTTAGAATACGGTAAAAAAGCACCAAAAGTTGAGTTCATAAAACAGGAGTAAGCATGTTATTCTCAGGTTTTCTTTTTAAGTATTCTGAAAAGCATACGCAAACTTTTGTGGAGAGATGGTTCTTTCATGGGGAGAGATGGTCAAAGGGGTTTGTGACAAAGATGTTAAATCACTACCATCAAATTCCACACTCTATAATATAAACCAATACTCGATGGGGGAAAATAATCGTCGGAGATGAGGCTACGTTTAGGAATTTAACCACATAATCTTGCTGCACCACAAAAATTTTCTCCCAGTCCTCTCCTGTAAGGAAAATTATTAAACCCAGTGAAGAAAGCTAATAATTCAGTGAGACACAACAAGAACACTTGACAGCACAAATGGGGATAGATGGGGTGCCCCTCCAAGAAGCTGCAGGAACTAGAAAACCAAGCAACACAGAATCCACGCACAATAAGACAATTACAGGATAAACAATGTTCTTGCGAAGCATGAACACGAGAAAAAAAGAAATGTTGCTATTGATAGTTACTGGTTATTTTCCTCCGATGAGCTTTCCTTTCTCACCAGAAGGTGGCAGAGAGGGTGCAGTTAACAATCTTTTTTTTTCATTCTCATTTTTAAAAGAAAAACTTTTAAACGAACAATGCAACTTGGAACTTTTAACCTTTAGACATACAGATTTCCAGGTTCTATTATTGAATACAGTTATTAGAAGTATCAACTCAGAGTGACTAGAGAGGGTTGTTATGGATACCTACACCACATGGGTTAAATAAAGCATATTTGACCGTAACAAAGAACTATGAATCTGTCTAAAAGGTACAGAATAGATGAGTGAAAAACATCTGAAGGGCAACTGGAAAGCAAAAGGACAGTGGGTCCGTGCCACGGATTTGCCAAAATCACCTCAATGTGCAACATGAAAATGTAATCTCATAAAGCAGCATTCGAGTGACAATGCCCTCATCCATAAAAGAAAAAGTCCGTTCTTCCACCAACAGGGTATATTTCCTACTTTAGAGATAACGGCAGGAAGCTCACTTGACTCGCCTATGCTCATACACGAGCTAGTGACCACGCTGTCTGTGAAACACACGTTTTCTGACCTTTCATCAACTTCCCCATCTGTCTTTGAAAAGATGAATCTTCGTAAGAAAGCTAAGTTAGCTATGGCTTCTGCCCAAAAGAAAACACAGTTAAGTTCACTACAGGTTCATTGAAAATGGCACCGAGCTCAAAACAAGGCGGGTTTATTTTGAAAAGGAAAGGACTCTTGATGTGCTCCCGGGGTCCGGTCCGCAGAGCACGCCTGCCAGGTAAAGACAGACCGATGGGACCATTTCTAATAAGAGCTGAATGTGGAGGGGAAGAGGAAGAAGGGAAGCCCCACGAAGCTCCCTCAAGGCCCCTGGGCGCCGTGGGGCTCAGGGCCAAGGGGCCAGGAGTCAGGGAGAGGACAGAGGTGGCCCACACGCTGGGCCTGACCCAGAGAAGAAACCCGAAAAAGTTTAATGGTCTGTGCTGCAGGCTGCCCTCCCAATGGCTCAGCCCCCTGAAAGCCGGGTTTTAAACTATTGCGGAAGTAAGAAATTGAGGAATAATGTTAAACGTTGAGGTTTCTCTTAATGGAAGTCAGATCTGTTTTGCAGAATCCTCCGCAGGTGTAGGGCTGCAGTAACTCTAGACATTTGTGGCTTGGCAACTGCCACGTTCCCTTCTGCGTCCCTCCTCGCTGCAGCCAGAGAACGGAGGCCCGTTTGGTAATGGGCGGTGCCTTGTGCCAGAAAACTCACATAGCTGTGGGTGGAGTCAGTTGGGAGGCTGCAGCGATTTTTTTTTTTTTCCAAAAGTCTGTGTAGGCCAAACACCGCAGGGACTTCCAAGGGGTGGAAAATAATACCTTGGGGGTTAGCAAATTTCCACTGTTTGTGGAGCCAAAGGTACAGTTGTGGAAACATGGCAAGCCAGTGGCCACCCGGGGCCGAGGGAGGGCCTGCCTGTCGGACGCATGTGTCCCAGGAGCCTCTCATTATGTGTACCTTCACATGTGGCTGAGAGAGAGCAGCAGCTAAGGCTCCTCCAGTTACCCTGGGCTCTCTGGGTCATGGCCCAGGTGAGACTCCTGTTCAGTGGCTGCAACCACAGGTTTCCCCAGCAAAATGTGGGGACCAGGGAACTCCAGTCGTGCAGAGACTCCAATCAATGCACAGTAAATCACGGACATGAGCAAGGTCACCTTAAAAGAGCAGACCTTAATTCTGAGGAGTACACAGTGTGTCTGAGAAACAGATCAAAGCTATTCACACAGGCCCCCGGCCCCCACACAATGAACATGTACACAGCACATAACACTGATCTCAGGGTGGGAAATTCTTAAGGTGAAGACTTAAGAATCCGTGGCTTAAAGAGGCAGAACATCTGAGATTAAGGCGAGGTCAGACCGAAAGCATTATTTCTATTGAAGAAAGAATGAGTCTGTTAGAAAGGAGGTTTGTAAACAAAGCAGAAAGAGCCAGTGAGGCAGAGGCTGGTACTGCTCACCCAAGGACAGTCCAGGATAGAGAGAGGCTAGGCCAGGAGACCTGGCTTTGCCTCGTGCCGGCGCTGTGCAGTTGGAGGACACGTCTAACGATTTTCAACAAATCCCTTCAACTGCTCAGACTCCACACTCGCCAAGCAGCCGCCTGACTAGAAGACTCATTTGAAGTGGCTGTAACCACAGGGAACCTGTGAGAACTGGGGAACCGGGGAGCTATAGTTCTCCAGGGTGTCCTGGTCCAGCCAGTATGATGTGCCAGTGTGCAAGGCTGTGGCAGCCCTCGCCGGAAATGAATCAAGCGGCATTCTACTGTACACACTGGTCTCCCGAGCTGGTGTGAGGTCACCTGGGACAGATCCACTGTCAGCATGCTGGAAAAATCACATTGTTAAGCCTGTAGGCTGAGGTCTAGGCATCTCCTGGCAACACTGGGCTGGAGGTGGCCACACTTACCTTTTACAGGACACCGGATGGTCACGTTTGCTCGCAGGGCTGCCTCCACGGTGCCGCCAACCACGACAGACAGATGGCTGTGCTCTGGTCTGGTGATGTGTCTTCCCATGGACAAGATGACGGGCGCCTCTTAATTCAAAGGGAACAGGACACTATGTTAGGTTCAGGCTTCCGCTCTCGGTAAACCGTGCTGCACGTGGTCACAGAGGCCTGGCCTTCTGGGACCTCACGGGAGGGATATGCACAGCCTGGAGGTGGTCAGCGGACAGACACACACACAGATGGATGGAGAGTGTCAAAGAGATACCCACAAAGGTGCACTGCAACAACCACATACAGACTCAGAGGATATCCGGGTTTCATAATAAAAATGGAGGGCAAATAAATCCTTCTTTGATGATCTGAAACAGAAGGGATTTGGAAGATCCTGAGAAGTAGAGAAGGTGAGGTGGGGCCGGGACAGGTGTCTACTGTGCAGCCTCGGGCGAGTTAAAGCAGGACGAATATGGAAGCATGTGGGGGCCAGGGCAGGCGACACCCCAGGGAGGATGTGGATAGAGAGTTCCTCTATATGGCTATTGCCATGGCTGGTTTCCCCACGCCACCATTCGCATGTGAGCTCCTGCAGGGGGAGGCCACAGTTCCTCAGCCTGTGTTATCACCCATGCCTACAGCATGAACAATAACGATGTTTAGCTGTTTGGCTACCACGTGTTCTAGGGAAGACCCTTCAGGAATGGCCATGCTTGGGTGACCAAATGTTGCATTCTGTCCTGGAGGGTCTGGGGCGTACCCTGAGATTTGAAAAGATGGGAACCCTCGGGCCGGGAGAGGGCTGTAGCCTGTCCCCTGGCCCCCTGGAACTTGTACCAGTTCTCCTGGGAATCTGAGCTGTTTTGGGATGGACTGAAGGGGAGACTCACAAGCTACAGGAAGTGCTTCTATTCCTCCCAGGAATTCCAGAGCCTGGGAACTGATGTTTTCTGGAAAGGACGTGAGGCTCACAGGAGAGAACCACCTGGAAGGAGCAAGGCCTAAAGGCCTCACCGCAGGAACGTGGCCCAGGGAAGGGACTTAAGAGTCAGGCCACAGAGATTCAGCTGGTCCAACCTTCTCCATTTCTAGGTGCCTGCTACAAAGCTCAAGGCTTGTTGTCTAAACGCTGGGTTCTAACCTCCAATCTCAGCCCTCTGCCCATCCTAGCCCACTCACTGGAGTCACACACACACCAGAGGCCACAGTGCAGGGAGTAGGAGGGTGGCTTTTGTTTTATTTTTCATCCCAGGACATGAGCTTGTCACAAGGAAACACCATTTACAACTTTACTGCCTAAAAAATGTTCCTTCGTAATAAAAGCACACTGAATATTAAAACCGCATCGCTGCGTCCTGGAAGACACGCACTAATTTACAACTTCCTGTAAGTGTTTCTAAGGCTTGGTAGGCATACCCCTGGGCGGTATATAACTTCAGTGACAGGACAATTATTCTCCTTCCTTGGCTGATGGCACTTTAAACATGAGAAGTCCATACTATCGACACTGCCAATTAATCCTTGTCTCATTAATTCCCAATTCTTAGAAAGTGAGCTCTCCAACAGCGTCACCTGGGGGCATGTAAAAAACACAAAATCAAGGACTCCATCTCAAGCCTACGGGGTCAGAACCTCTGGAAACGGGGTCTAGAAGTCTGCGCTTTAACAAACCCCACAGGTAACTCTGCTGCTATAGCGTTTAATGTTAAAAACAAAAACAAAATCCAAACCCAGGCAATCCATGTTTCAGCAGCGGGCTGATTACCTGCATACAGCACAGAGGAACTTTCCACATCGGAACCAAGACGAGTGGCCACAGAGCACTCATACAGCCCTTGTTCCTTCTTTGTAGGGTTCCGGATCTGTAACTTCCCCGTTCCGGACCACAGTATTCTGTAGAACCGTTAGAAAGAGGACGGTGTCACTGAACACATTCAACTGCTCTAGAACCACAGCAAGTCACAGAGAAAGAAGACTGAAAAATTGGAGGCCTTAGGCTGGCCAGGAACTCTGAGGATGACCTTGTCAAACATCGTGGGATAGGCAGAAAAACCACCTAGGCCAGAGGGTGGAAAAGTCTGTCCTCTTGGCTTCAACTCATTGAAATGGCAGATGGAGCTGTTATAGATGGTGCCTGGAGAGCCAGTCTCCCTCTCCTACTTTGCATGAGAATAGAGATTAGACTTTTCCAGATGGAGTCAGAGCTGTATCTATCACATTTTTTAAAAGACAAATTAGCAATCCGTGGTTTGCTGGATGTTAAACCCTCATTTTCTGCCCAAATCCTTCCTAACCAACTGCAGATAGGGATTTTTCCCACTGGAAGTCAGTGGGCCTTTCGTTAAGGCTGCCTGGTAATAATTGTGTCACTGTCACTGGAGGAAGACACCAGTGCAGGGGACAATGCTAAGGCTGCCTTATAGGGGATTTTGACCATGCTGTTCAGAACCCGGGCTGAACTCTAGGAGTTCCCCATGGTTTCTCAATCACTGACACTCATAAACAAGGAAATACCACTCCGAGAATCCGAGTTGGTCATGGGTATCCTAACAGATGAGATAATTGTCCAGGGGATAAGAAAGAGTGCTTGTTCTGCTTTTATTTACTGTATTTCCCCATGTATAAGACGCACCTTAATTTGGGGGCCTGAAATTTGAAAAAAAAATGTATTACATAAAGTTATTGAACTCAAGTTTTATTCATCATAAAATTCATACAACTCATCACTTGTGGGAAATGCAAGTAAAAAAAATAATCTACAACCACTGTATAAGATGCACCCAGTTTTCAGACCCCAAATTTTTCGAAAAAGGGTGTGTACCTTATACATGGGGAAATATGGTAAATTTTTTCTTCACTATTTGAAGCTGCTCCTAGACCATCTGGGTCAGAGGTCCATACACTATGTTCTCCTCTGACCCATCCTACTTCACAGGCCTTAGCAACTCAGGGACTGCTGTGACTGCTAAATACGGTACGTTGCTTCAGGAATTGAGCTGCGCCACATACATCTTCATTTCCTGTCACCTCACGTTGCTTGCCTTCTGCTCCAGTGAGAATGAACTTCTAACAGTTTCCAGAACATTCCATGATCTTTCATCAGCCCGAGCTTGTGCATAAGTTGTTCAGTTTATTTGGAATGTCCTTCCCTCCCCCCATCTGGCAAACTCCGACCTACCCACCGAGCCCTGGATCAGATGTAATTTCCTCGGTAAAGCCTTTCCCAATACTCCTCGAGTTATCTTCTGCTCCCTCGGGGCTTCCTCTGCTCTGGTTCATGTATTTATTTGATGAAATATCTATTTCTGCCCACTAGATTGTGATCTTTTCAAGAGCAGGGACCAAATCTTATTCACAGCTGTGCATTCTCGCTTAGTGCAGTGATGTTGTCGAGCCTTGGATGACTACATGCATGAGTGATCAGGATAGAACAGAAACATGGCACAAGGTCAGTGGCTAGCGGGATGCAAGCCCCCTGCAATACACATGGGACATATACAAAAGTGGGCAGAAATCAGCTGAATTGTCCAGAACAAAACCGGGAGTGGGGCAGACCTAACTACGTGTAGGGCTAGACTGTCACTGTCAAACTCCCATTAAGAAAGAGCCGATTAAAAATGAAAGTATATTGGGATGGCCGGTTAGCTCAGGTGGTTAGAGCACAGGGCACAGTGCTCATAACACCAAGGTTGCCGGTTCAATTCCCACATGGGCCACGGAGGTGCGCCCTCCACAACTACTGGGTTGTCGGAAAAGTCATGACATATTTTCTCTATGTTTTTCATTGCAAAAATGTGTCATGACTTTTCCGACAACCCAGTAGACTGAAACAAGTACTTGACTTGGAGCTGATGGGTCCTGGAGAAACACACTGTTCCCCTATTAAAAAAAAAAAAATGAAAGTGTAACTAGTAACTTATACTTGAAAAATATACTACAAAGTTTGCCTAAGTTATTTCACATATATGTTGGTATGGTTTTAGCAATTCTGAAGTAATTCTTTTGGTTTGTAGGTCTCAATTAAATAGCACAATGAGAAATCATTCAGATACGAAATAGCTGAGCACACATGCATCTACCGAGCCAGAAGGGGCCACCCACACATCTAGCCTGGATGAGCTCCTGACCTGGACAACCAGCAGGCAGATTTCCTTAAGGAGTCTGACCATGGCCTCTGCTTCACCTTTTTTGTAACTCGAAGTACTAACAAAGCTCATCTTTCCACAGTTTTCTTCCCGAACTGTGAATCCACCCACAACCTTCCCTTCCCAGCTGACATTCTCACTCAGCTAGCATCCCAATGGTATTCCATGCCTATGTGGGTTTCCTCCACAGGAGACAGGCTCTCAGAAACACAATTCCATTCCTCCATTACGTCCACTGAAAAGATTTATGAGATTTGGAAAGGCAGCTCTATAGGTGAGAACCTTTGTCATGGACAGGAAACAAAACATAAGTTGAAAAAATTAATGAGGTAAGTTTGAAAACCATGGGAATAAACACGGATCTTATTCTTTTAGTCTCTTAAAAGATGTTCAAAAACAAAAACTTTTAATAGCCATATGGAATTGGTTCAGATCCAACTGGTTGATCCTTAAAGTATGCAGAAACACATTTGAGTAGGATGTAGGAGTTTCAGCCCCAGAAATGAATGTTAATTCCATTTGATCAAGTCAAACTATTTCAAATCAACTCAACAAATATTTACTTAAAACTGACCCTGCTCTGTTACATCCCTGTAGGACTTACATGGCCATAGGTCAACCACCACTGCAACTTTCTCAGTCTCTGTTTCCTTACAGTTTCTAAAATGGAATTGTTGCACTAGACTAGCAGTCCCCAAGGGATGGTCCACGGACCCCAGGGGTCCTTGAGGTCAAAACTATTTTCTTCACAGTGCTAAGCCATTATTTGCCTATATCACTGTGTTGGCATTTGCACAGACAGTACAAGCAGTGGTGGAAAAACCACTGGCACTCTCACAGGAACCATGGCAGTGACACCAACGTGTAGCAGCAGTCACTGTATTCTTTGCAGAAAAACAAAAATGCCCATTTTTCTTCATTAAGGACATTCGGGCATTTCCTAAAATGCCCGAATATCCTTAATGAACCTTATTAATTTTACGACCCTTGGGCACACACGTTTTTAATATTCTGAATGACAAAACGGAAGTACACCCAATGCACTTCTGCTGTGAGTGTTTGAACTGCGAGATGAAATAGTGTCTTCTGTCACGGAACACCACGTGTCCTGAGAGAATGGCTGACAAACCATGATTATTCAGACTTGGGTATTCGGCAGATTTTTTTTTTTTAATAAACAAAAATGAGCTGGCCAATTCAAGGAAAACAACTAGCAGTACTTGTTGCCAATGATGAAATTCGAACTTTCAAGTGAAAAATAGAATTTCGGAAAATTAGTCTTCTCCTTTGTAAACCTGACAGCTTCCCAACACTCAAAGGCTTGTCTGATGAGATGGCTACTGCTATTAATGAATGTGTGTACTTTTTATATTTTTAATGAAATGTGTCAACATTTAGAAGATCTGCATAACTCAGTGAGTCAATGTTTTCTAAATGACCGATGTGTGATGTTATAAAACCTTGCACAATTCAAAGTGCAAGGTAACTAATAGATTTTGTTGTGACCAAGTACCAAAATTTTGTTAATATGGTTTTACAGTCAACATTTCATTTAACCTTTAAGAAACTATCACTTGTCCAGTTTTAGTGAAGTATCAAAGAAGAATAGCCACAATTATCTGAAAAGACTATTAAAATATTCCTTCTTTTTCCAACTAACTTATCTGTAGGAGGTCAAATATTTCTAGAAGCTTCAATTCAAACATTTCACAATGGATTGAATGCAGAAGCATGGGTGAAAGTCCACATGTATTTTATTAAGCTAGATATTAAAGAGGTTTGAAAAGATGTAAAATGATGCCGTTGATATCAGTAATTTTTTAAAAAATATTGCTTTTCAAAAATCATGTTATTTATGTGAACATGTAATGGACTTATTGTTGTTTCTAAATGGATTAATAAACAGATATTGTAAAATGCTTCCTGGTTTTAATTTCTAATATGGTAAACATCAATAACTATAACTCCTATTAACCAAAGATCTTTAGGTTCCTCAATCATTAAAAGGGGTTCTAAGACCAAAAGATTTCAGAACCGCTAAGCTAGTTGATCTGGGAGGTTTATTCCACTTCTAAAATTTCATTACATGCTTGTGTGTGAAGTTCTAGGGTAAAAAAAAATAAAAAAATTGTTGTACCTTTTCAGTCTAAGACATGGCCTAATAATTTTATTTATAATTATAAAAAAAACTGAATTTTACCTAGATTTCTTCTGATGTTTAACATATTAGGCTCAATGCACAAAAGGAACGATGAAAATAAAACTTGCATTTTTAAACTACCTCAGAGACTGCAAAACAATTTCACATCTGCTGTTTGTTTGTGTCTCTCAACAATCCCTAGAGGCAGATGAGGTGCAGCTTGAGGTCTTAAATGCAAATTCAAAAAAGGAAAATTTTTAGTTTTATGTGCACCAACAGCAAGACTTGGAGACAGTGAAGAATGCAAAAGCACACTCGCTTTACATTTTATGTAATGCGAATGAAATGCAGTATTTGTGCACTGGCAGAGGGGTCACCAAACAATAAAATATGATTACATATTTTGTTTTGAACACCTAAAAACACTCCAATCTGTATCAGTTTATGCTTCTGGATTTTATGACGTAAAAAGCTGCATGATATAGAGAATTACCTCAGATACCCAATCTTTCTAGCAAGGCTGTCATTGGTGTAGATATTCAGACACCGCTGGTGGGGTGCAGGAGACGTGGTCCCTGGTTCTGACTGGCCATGATTTAAGTTATGGGATTCTGTTGCTCAGTGAAGTCACAGAAAACTATTAATCCCCGCTTTGACCAATTCGCGGGGCCAATGGAAGCTCAAATGAGGTTCCACATGTCCTAGATACGGATGGGCACTGTGAATTCAGATTTGCAGTTCCCACACAATGCAGGATGCGGCCTGCAAACACATTTCCTCTTTTAATGCCTTTATATTGACTTTAGTTTTCAATGTTAAGTGCCCTGCAAAGAGAGAAACTGTACACGCTCCAACTCAGACTACCTGTATCTGGTCTCTTATCACACCTATGTGACAGTGACTGTGACGACAAGGTTTAACTTTAAAAATTCCAACGCATGCGTGAAAAACACCTCCTGGCATTTGTGAGGTTCTTTCCTAAAGAATCCTGCTGGAAACACATTCTGAGGAGGAGGAATTTGAAAAATAGTTTCAGGAAAACTGGAATAACCATTAAGAAGGAATTGCACACTGAACGCAGAATTCTGACTCTACGCACTTATCTGAGGGTTGTAACGCTGCTCCGTCCTTGGTCCACGTGTACGTGGCCTCACTGGGGGTGGTCAGCTCACACAGGATGTTGATGACCGCGGTCCTCTTTGTAATGTACACCGTGTTGCCAATCCTTGAATTTACTGTTTTATTAAACGAAACTGAGGTGGGTTGGCTCTGCCTCACGAGAGTTGGTCCCTTGGGCTTGAATGTCAGCTTGCCTGAGTTTTTCACATTCGAGCCTTGGGGCACACTTCCTGTCTCCCCTCTCAGCTGAGCCGCAGGAGGCTCTTCCTCCTGGATGTCCCTCCATTGCGTGGGTCCTGGCTGCGCCCTGGCTAACCCGGCCACCAGCTGATATATCATCTGGGATGCGAGGTCATCGCTGACCTCTCTGGTCTCCATGAGCTGACTCATATTTCTTATCAGTTCATCGAACTGGGCTGTGTCCATGCTATATGCTCCCTGCTTAACTGCTGCTTCGAACTGCTTGTTCTTAAACTCCCAGGAGCTGGGGTTTCCTGCAGAACTGCGGCAGTGGCCCAACAGGGCTCTCAGGAAAGGCTGGTTATTAATTTGGCCGTCGTCCAGGTAAAGCTCATTTTTGTTTGTCCACATCTGCCTCATTTTATGCCATGTGGCTCCCACAGTGTCGGCGTCCTTGGGGTCCATCCCAGCATGTTCCCCGGAGCGCTCACCTAGGGCTGGGGGCGCGATGAGCCGGTTGTCAGTTCCAATCAGCTTGAGAACGATGGTTTCCTGGGCAGAGCCTGCGACGCACCGGTACTCACCGCTGTCAGGGGCTGCGAGGCTGTGGATCTTCAGTGAGCCCGATTTGGTGATGCCCAGTCGTTTGGAGTTCTGAAGACAGTGGCCGTCCTTCTCCCATCGGATCAGGGATTTCTGGAATCGTCGCACGGGGCATTTAATAATCACGGATGTGTTGGGCAGTAAATAGGCCCGGCTGCCGATGGTCAGGTTAATACGCTTTTCCTCCCTCGTCTGAATGTAGACACTCTGAGCGCCCAGGATCTGAGGGCCCTGCTCACCAGGTTTTGGCTTCACCTCTGGCTTCATTTCTGCAAGAGAAGAAAAAAAAAAAAAAAGAGAAAGAGAAAAAAACACAAACAACTATCTCAATAATAAAAGCTTTTTGACAGTCATCTTCCAAGGCTGATACAAGCCAACAAATATATCGTTTTTCCTCTAAAACATTTGAGAATTAAAACATGAATGACAGTATACGCTGGTAGACCGGGGTAAATTTCACAACTATCTAGGACTTTAGCAGCAAAGAATGCAAGTCTGAATGAATCGCGTGAAAACGTGTTATTTTACAAAGCCCCGGTTTGGGGAGGCATGAAGTTCAATGGTGAAATGTTTACATCAATAAGGGGATGTCGGATACATTGGGCCTCTACCCTCTGGCAGGACCAGCGTCCTTGGGGAGCTCGTGTGGCTTGCAGCCATGGGGACACCGATCTGGAGGAAGCGAGAGCAGGAGCATGAGAGGGGGAACGGCATGGTGAACGCATGTGAAGGATCTGAGAAGGAGGCTAGGTTGGCCAAGGGCAGCAGAACAACAAGCAGTTCAGTTAAACGAGCAAGGGGACCCAAGAGAAGCAGGTGATCAAAGAAGAAAAGACAGAGCAGGCACTCTGAGGCCAGGCACGCCCGAGTTTAATCTCAGCGCCGCCGCTGGGACAAGCCCTTTGAAGTCTCTGAGCCTTCATTTTCTCACCTTTAAACTGTGGGGAATGTTAGTGCCTTTGTCAGAGGAACAGGACAGACAGGTCAGATCATTTACACCAAGTGCACGGCACAGCAGTGGGCACGTAACAAGCTCTCAGGGAGGACCGTCATCAGCGGACAAAGGCATGTCCAGCCAGGAAAACAACAGGGCAATCTGAGAGTCCGTCAGAGGCAGGCTGGCTTTCACTTGTTCCTGGGCATCGGCTCCGGTTAACAGGTGAGGGCCAAAGAGATACCCCTCAGACCCTGCTCCCCCAAAGCAGGAGCACCCACCCTCAGTTCACCTGTACAAAGGCTTCTCGATGTGTTCACAGGTGATTCTGCAGTGAGGGGGTGTGAGGGGGCAGACTGGGGGGGTCTGCAGGCGGCGGGCAAGGCTCAGCCTTGGTGAGGAACCTGCCACATAAGCAGCCCAGCTCCCCCCTCTGGATGCATGTCCATCTGTTGGAAAGCTGGCCCTGTGGCCCCTGCTGGTTCTATGGCCAACCCGGCATTAGCAATTGTTCCTGCTGGGTACAGTGCAGCGCCGTTAGCAGGTGCGCCTGGCGGGGGATTGGGGATTCAGGCGCTGCCAGGTTCCACAGCTTGGGCCAGTTCCTCTCTCGGGACTTCTGAGAGCCTCTTCAGAGCAATGCTCTCTCGCCCAGATAGTGCCACATTCCCTTAACTAGACTCCCTGCCTGCTGTCAGAGTAAATACACCCAAATAAAATCTGACTATGTCACTTGTTTCTTGGATAAAATCTAAACTCCCGAGCACACGGAGTTCAAGATGCTCTACAGCTAACTTCTCAAGCGTTCGCTTTGGTCATAACCCATCGTGAACCTATGTTCTAACCCTAAGGAATTGTCTGCAATTCTCCCAAATGTTCCTTTCCATTTGACACCCCCGACCTTCGTCACCTGCCCAATGTCACCTGATGAGGCACTAGAAGAACTGGGATTTGGACTCAAGTGTCCCATTACCTTTCAGAGATTAAGTTCAATTGAGAAAGATTACTGGGGAAGATAGGGTTTGTGTTGGTCCTTCCAAAATGCGAAGACTGTCAGCCACTAGATCTGGGGGAGGAACGCATCTGAGGCTGAGGTGGGAGAAAAACAGGCAATGTTTTGGGGAAAGGCGGCAGAAGCTATAATTGGACTGCATCATGCAACACTGGCCTCTAGGGGGAGCTCAAGACACTTGTCCCACCTGCTGGCCACCCCACCGCACAGGAAAATGGTCCGAATCAAGATAAGAAAACTCACTCCTCCAAAGAGGATGGATTTCACTTAAACCCTAGGCACGGATAAGGATATGCTTCTGGAAGTGGAAGAAAGATCCCAGCTGGGCTTGTTTTTTCTTGTCTTTGGACCCCCTTCCATCATGGGGGCATTAGGCCAATAAGGAAGACACTACCTTTCCAATCTGGAGAGCAGAGGGGGTTGAGATGCAGGAGACAGAAAAGTCGGAAGGACGTTACACCTATAGCCTTGGTAGTCCTTATGGAATCAAAGATAAGTCCATCCACAGAGAAATGGGAACATGGGCCCCGTGCAGTAGGTAGGAAATAGCTGCTATGGTGAATTTCTAGGGGATTCTTAGGAAATAGGGGAAAAAAAACCAAAAAAAAACCCATTGCCACCCAGCTAGATTCAGGTAGCATTAATATGAACTACATCTAATTAGCGTGGGGATGTTACTCCCTTTAGCAAATCCTCGTAGCTCGGACCAAGGAACCAACCAACAAAAACCACCTGACAGTTAATACCAGGGCTGCAGATGGACGAGGTGATCAGAGAAGCGGGTTAAGGAAGAGCATAAAGATGTGGCTATAGAATTGGCTAAGTGGGTGACTGGTGAATGCCAGCTGAGAGGATGGTTTCTAGTGCGAGAGCAGAAAATCTGGGGACAGGGAGGAGGTATGGAAGAACCAGGGGTGACAGCTGGGCATCAGGTAAATAAGCAGGAGTGACACGGAGGAGCAGGAAGCCACTTCTGAGTGCTGAGCAGTGGGGATGTCCTGATGTCCCAGGCCAAGGTGACAAGAGTCAGTGACACTGATGCTGCTGGGCTATCAGGCTGTTGGCAAGGATGCTGGTTGTCGCGGATGCTGGCAAAGGTGGGAGAGGAAGAGTGGACCTGGAGGCGGTGTGCCCTGGAGAAGGTGTCCTGCAGGTGCGCACACGACGCATCTGAAGGTGTGATCTCAGGGGCGAACGGTGCCGCGCCAGCCGGGGTAGGGAGGCTGGGTACGCGGAAGCCCATCACTGAGTCCCGTGACGCGGTGGTGAGGAGAAGGGGACGCCACGCATGAGTTTGGAGGGAGAAGCCACATGTCAGCAAAGGGCCACTGAGTGAAGGTGATGGCATGAGGCCAGGCAACAGTTGCCCAGCTCAGGGTGATCTGGCCGTTCTAGGGGCAGGCATTTCTGTCTCTCGTCTACATGTTTGGCAAGCTAGGGGGTGGGGTGGGGTAAATAAGAAATGTGACTGCCTATTTTCTTTTTAAAAATTTTTTAAAAATCTTTCTCCTTAAAACTTATCATTTTACTCTGCTCTCCACTGCATGCCATAGTAATTTATAATTACATCTTGTACCGATTTGCATGCCCTTAATAACCACGGCGTATCCCCACATGTTATTCTGTTATTTTAGAGGAAGCTGCCAGTCTGACTTTAATTTCCCTCTCCTCTAAGGCCGTTTATGGTCTAGCCACATGGCTATAAAACCATCCACCATTAATAAAACATTAGAGCGATAAGCAGCTTGAAGCATGACATGGCGCCATACGCCACAGACATTCTTAAATTCCAGGACACTGTAGAATTTGGACTCTCACATTTTTTGGAATCTGAAGATTTTGAAAATTTGTTCTCAGAAAATTCCCAGGAAAGAAAACCAACCAACC